GACGGATAGACGAGCGGCTATACCCTGTCCGATATCGCGAATCGCCGATAACGCGAACATCAACGGTGACAACTTGTAACACGAACATTAATTAGTGTAAAAATATAAATAAACAATTCAGATACTAAATACAGTGCGGGTGTTAGTGTCACCCTCCTGAACCACTCAACACTCAATATAACAATAAAAAACTTAAATAATGAAATGGTCAGGACATAAAATCCCAAGTATTGCTTTCGGATGATTGAATTTACGTTAAACGTCAAATACAAAGTCCGTGTAGAGGCGTAAGAACATCAGATGCAGAGTTTGTATAATAGTAATTGTCCAAATGAAACATGCTTGTCAAAGGGAGAACTCGTTTATTAATAAAAAAGAAACTTATTAAAAATGTACTGACGATCAGAGTAATATAATTCCGAAAGTGAACGAAGTCATGGTAATAGTCAAAAATGTTCAATTTTATTGAAGCATTATTATATAATTACAAGTGTTATATGTTACAATAATATTATTAATAACTTTTAAAACGTTTTTTAAAGTACACTGCTGACTGCTTAGAAAAAATATGTCATAGAAAAATTTTTGGCAAAAATTTGCTAACTTTGGCTGACGACAATTCCGCGAAAAATCAGGATGATAAGGAAATCGTAGTATGATGACCTTTTTTTAAATTAAAGCTAGAAATCTCTATTTTAAGGTGCTATAAGTCGATTTTAAATTTAATGCAACCCTGTTATTGTAAACTCTTAAATCTGAAATCATATTTGTCATACAGAAAATTGCAAAGTTGGACGAAATACATGGACTTATTAAAATTTCTCTCAGGGCTGCCGTTTGTAGCGACATAAAGCTCGAATCTTTCTCTTTAATTTGAAAAAAAATGCAAGTCGCTATAATTTTTTTTCACAAAGTTACAGCATTTTATAATCTTTTTGTAATCTTTGTATTTTTCTCATGTACGATTGAAATTAACCGATGTGCACCATAAAGAGATTGACAATCAGATTTTGCACATCATGTGTGTATGTGTGTATATTTTACATACGCGCATACGCACACAATGTGTAAAATTCGATCGCCAACCTCCCTACGATGTACATCGTACATGCCAATTGTAATGAAAATTGGGTAATGCCAATTGTACATGAAAAAAATACAAGAGTTACTTTAAAGTGCTATAGCTTTGTGAAAAAACTCATAACAATTTGCTTTTTTTCAAATTAAAGAGAAAAGTTCGAGCTTTATAAAGCTGCAAATAACATCTCCAAGACAATTTTAGCAAGTCCGTACATTCCGTCAAATCGTCTTTACAATTTTTAGTATATCAAACATGCTGACAGATTTAAAATAAATTTTATAAATAAATCTAAAATCGACCTATAGAACTTTAAAGTAAAAATTTCAAGCTATAACTTAAAAAAAAGTTCATCATCCTACGATAGTTTTTCGCGGAATTATTGTCAGCCAAAGTTGGCCAATTTTTGCCCAAAATTATTCTATGCAATAATTTTTTTTAGCAGTGTAATAGAACAATAATTATAAGAAAATTGACATAAACTTTACAATAAATGCATAATAGAAAAGTTGACTACAATCTAGTTTCTTTCAATAAAGATTGAAATATTTGAAATATTGTGTATAAGAATTATGAAATACTTCAAAATCCTATGCATAAGAATTATAAAAGAATGTAATTATGTAATATTTAATTTAATCATTAAAATTGTAAGTTTTTAAAGACAACCAATCCCTGTAGCCTTTATGGCGGTTTTTTTTATTTATTATGGCCAATAGCCATAATAAATAATTGGTTTATTATAAAATTCTTGATGTCGTAAATTTTTCTCATCGTTTCTCTTTCGCATTTTATTCTTTGCGCCAACATTATGACTCACTTTTTTAATAAAAGATTCTTTGTTCTTAGATAGAGTTTTAAACGAATAATACTTTTTCTCGATTAGCAAGATAAATAATGCCAGGATCATACTGCCCACCACTATCGTCAAAGTCGGCGTTATATCGTATATATCAACTATACCAAGTATGTAAATCTTTGGCCGGGAATTTCTTAGATACTTGTTCCGCAACTTGTCCATAACGCCATTAAGATGAAATCGCCGCAAACTGAAAATTGCAAAAATATTTAAAGCATCTATTTTTAAAAAGGAAGAAGCAATCGTAAGTTTAATCGCGGTTTAATCTGTATTTTTATAAGTACATAAATATGCAAATAAATATATATATGGTACTTATAGAACTTACTGATAATTTATAAAGCCAGTGTAAGGATTTCCTTTTGACAGCGTTAGCCCCATATTATCGATTCTCCCGGTATCAATATATACGACCCTACACCGTATATACCTGTTCATAGCTTCCTTGAACACCATCGTCGTGTAAAATGCCAATTTCTCTCGGTGACAGACCTGCGTGAAAATTAATGTGATTCGACTTAAAAAAACTTGACGCCGTCGATGTCATTAATTAAATGATATCGCTAACTTGCTTGAATCCTTCCGCCAGTGTTGTCGGTAAATACTTCTTCTCCTCTAGTAAATCGTACATTTTCAGAAACACTGGGTCTTTCATACGCTATAAAATTCGAGAAAACATAATTTGAATAAAAAGATACTGTTTTACTTCTAATAATTATATAGTCGGAATAGAATGACTCCTTTACACTGAGAAAAGAGTCTGGCAATAATAATTAAGCCTAGATAACGATTACGAAATTTTTGTGAAATAGTTTCAAACAAATATTCGGTTAATACAATCAAAATTCTAATTTTACTTTTGTAAATATTAATAATATTTGATAATTATTACCAAACGGCTGGTTGATATTATTATGATTGATATTTATACTAAATGCTGCATCAATATGCTAAAAAAAATTACATTGGGAAGCTATCACCAAACTTCTTTTCTCAGTGTATGAATTCTCGCTAGTACATGTCTAATGTACTCATACTATTATGAGAAAATAATAAAATTTAAAAACAAAAATATATTCTGTACAAATAAAAAATTAAGGTGGAAAGATAAGGAGAGCAACCTTGATTTTAATATATGTTGTCAAGGTAATAACTATTATATAAACAATACTCAAAAGGTTTTAGCCGTCGATCATGATTCGTTAAAAAGTTGATAAATAATAAATTTCTTTATTCATTTAGTTACGCAAGTGATTTCTTATTGACCTTGATGTTTCACATGGATTTTCGACTTTTCACGAAATAAAGTCCTCTGCCCCTCCCCTTCTGTTTACAGGGCAAAAGGTAATTGTACACTTCGGTAATTGTACGCACGATTTTCGACTTTCCACGCGAAGCGAGATCCATCCCATTCCTTCTCCGCTCTCTGCTTATAAGACGAAACGGGATCTATATTTAGTTCATAAATTTTCGACTTTTTATGCAAATAATTAAAGCAATGTTTTAAATCATTTAAATGTACATATTGTATTAAAAACTTACGTATTGTTTATGAAAATTAATTTATTTCGTTAATAATTTTTAATGATTTACGATTGATTGATGGCTAAAACATTTTGAATATTGTTCACATAGCTTTGTTAACACAAGATCAAGAATTATTGGAGATTGTTTTTCTATTTCTCATTTTTATCAAATTAAATTCTTTAACATTTAAAATTATAAAATTTTCTACAAAATTAATTACTAAGACTTATTTATAAGTAATGTTACATTATGTAATGGTAAAGCTTTCCACATGTTCTCGGTTGCAATCGCGAGATTGTTTTAATTCACCAGCGCTTCAATCAAAAATACTGCAACTCACTGGCGCTGTTATACGGAAAGTAATTTCTAAGATTTAAATAAAGACTCACAGTAGGAATATCGTACTCGGCGCTGTTTTGCAAAACGATTAATTTGTAAGTGCCGTCATTAACGTAATCCTCCAGAGTTGAAAAAGGCAGTTTAGGAAGATTGAGCGTCAGAAAGCTGACCAACGTGGCGGAATAGATGGCCAGAATTATTATCGACGAGATGTAAATTGAGAAAAAAACCAACCTCATCGACAACTCTCTGGGAGATTCTATGACAATGTAAAACATATGTGTGTATATATATGTATATACACATACACTGTTAAATCTATAGTGTTAAATTTAACCTTACTTAAGTCGCCACTGCTCCTACTTAATAAATAGTTATTTTTAACTAAAACAATATGGTTATTTTTAAATAAAACAATGGAATTTAAC